TTCGTTACGATTAACCACTCAGTCACAATGAAGTACAGAACAGATGCTATGCAATTTCCAATGCTACAGTGAACACTTTTAATGAACACCTTTTATTTGCGAGTTAGGCTAAAAAAGAAGGTTCGTAATAACAGACTAAGCTGATCGCAAGTGTAATCATTTTAAGGTTATTCCAAACAAACGCTACCCCTCTGTTTGTGTTTAGATAGTTGCAAATTTTTAAATAAACAAGATTTCCAAAATGAAGCTCACTGATTCTAACACGATAACCACTTGAGCTACTTATTCTCTAAAAAGTAGGTTCGGTTAACTTCACCTCAGTTTCCTGAATATGACTCTTCAATTTATCCATTGCATTCGCATTCGACTCATTCGAGGCCTCCATCTCTTCCAGAATAGACCGTATCAGCTCCAGCTTATACAGAATATCATCACACACCAAGTCCGATTGGTCCACGTAATCCGTCAAATTCTTATCTTAGTCGACTTACTTATCAAATTAGCCTTGTCTAACGTCTCAACGGCTAATTGGCTGATCTCGTAAAGTTTCTGCTCAAAGTTCTCGCCTGAGAAATTGACAGGAGTAGATTGGATTTGAGAGATAGTCTTGGCTAATTGGTCAGCCAGACGCCGGATTTCGTTAGCCGATTTTTGGACGAAATCGTAGCACTCGTCACAGCCTAAAAAAATTCCACCGCTGATATTTACATTCAAACAAGCCGGAATACCCGTAACATACAAGGACGAAACCATCAACTGCCCCTGCGAAACATACCCACTGTAATTTTTGTTCCGACTACCTCTTTTTTTTTCGCCTAATGTTAGATACCTCGGGGTAAGCAAACTGGGGGTCAAATCATATTGAAGCTATATTAATCGAGTCGAATCCCCCAAAAAAATCAAAGTGCCGAGAAAAATCGCCGGAAACTTTCCGTTTTTCAGACAAATGACACCACGTTTTCAAAAGACACATGAGGTAGTTAGTAAATGAACTCTTACTTAGATTCTCCGCGATTTACACATTTGTATAGTTATTATATCGTTAGTTGATTCAGTTGGACTTTGATGAAAAAAAAAACAACAGAAAATTTAGTTCAACAGTATTGATTTTTTTCATTTTTTAAAACTTTCTATCATTGTGGTCGGAACAATCTGATCTATTTGCAAAGCAACCGGTAATCCTGCTTACCTTCTTAAAGTGCTCATTACGCTAATGCATCCCTATGAACATTTGGCATGCATGGTAATTACCCTATTTATACACAACTTGTTCTTCACAAATAAACTTGCTACATGACTAACAAAATTGAAAAGCGTTAATCAACAAGGAAAAAACGCAGTTCTTTTAAAATAATTTCGACAGAAAATTTTCAAAGAAATTTTTCGAAAATTCGTTCATTTTTTTGTTCCGACCACCATTTAAAATGGGGAGGAGCTTTGTATTCGGGTGTATTTTAGTTTCTAGTGTGTTTTTCTTTGTTTTCCACGCAAAATTAGATACCACAAATAATCATCGAAAAGTGTCGAGTGATATAGCATATTGAAGTTCCAGTGCATTTCTGGAAGGTCATATTTTTTGGGAAGAATCAGAGCTTCAGATGGGTCTCTGATAGCACCCAGATTAAGCACCAATTTTTCGAACTTCGAAGGAAAATATATCACGTTAAAGCTCTTCAAACTTCAAGAAATCTTTACGATTGGTATTTTTTAAACTATCCCACTTTAAATGAATGATTAAATTATTTGTTCGGCTGGGAAATCTGAAAAGAAAAATGCATTTTTCAAATTGAGCACTTTTTTCTCGCCATTTCCAATTTCGCAATTGCACAACGCAATGCAGTAATGTATGATGCATTTCTGTAATTATCAAAGCATTACAAGGCTTTTTGAAAAACAAATAAAAAAAATGATCCTATAAAAGTGATAATCACTTCGTTCTTTCATAGTAAAAAAAGCCATGTAATAACTGAAAATCTAGTTCATTAACATAAAATCTGTCCAGTCAAAAACATAGCCATCTGATAGTTGAAAAAGTGTCAATTTACTCAACGAGACTTAAAAAAAGCTTTAGAGGAGAAATGTATCACCTTTATGATTGATTTATCTAAAACAAAACTAAGCCAAATTGTGGAAACTGGATCAATGGATATGTTATTATTCTGCTGGATAATCTTAAAACGAAAAACTAACTAAAACTTAATAACGTTATTTTTGCACCATTTGAGTTTTTGATGTTGGACAGCAAATTTGCCTTCTTGTCAGCAAATGAATTTGAATTGAACATAAAAAAATCAAACCCCAACAGCAAAAAAAATCAAATTTGAGCTAGAAAAAAAAAACCTTTTTCCTGAAAAATTACAAGACTTAAAAAAGTGTATCCGCGTCGCTTATTGCCACCTTGTAAAAATAATATATCGTTCAAAAAAAAATTTCTAGGTAGTGGTGGGACGGTAGTAGTTCAAAATTATCAAGAGAAATTTCTCTAAAACGTTCAAGATGTGCGATTCTAGACGAGAATCTTCTCAGCACAAAACTATTACCTTTAAACACTAAAGATGGTCGTCCCGCTAAATTTTGACAGAAACGCGACCTAGCATCACCTCCAGGAACACTTGGTGTTTTACTATTACGCGACCAAATAGTAACACATGCATGACAGAGTGAGTTGGTATTAGGAGGTAGATAAGAGCCTTCGAAAAGACTGAGAGACAAAAGAACAGAAATAAACACAGTAAAAGAAGGCCAACCAGTCTTCATTTAATATGGGCGAGAGGAACTTTTAAAGCAAGAAGTGACAAAAAGATGGAGTAGTTTATGAAAGTTTACTCACGCTTTAAGCTTCAACGCAACCTGAAATAAACACAAAGTTTGGTTAGTTCATTTGTTATTACACACACGCATTCAAAGTAGACACAAATGCACTCAGATTTTTGTGTCGTAGTTAGGCCGTGATTGGAATTCTCAAGTCAATCATGCACAAACCCACCGCTACTGTCTAAAGCCAGGGAAAATTTTGCAAAATTTGAAGCTAACTTGGTTTGAATTCAGTAGCGCTCAGCGAAGGCAAGTTACCACTACCCCAACTAAACGGCCTCGACCCCCTACTAAATGGGGAAGACATGGGGGGATCGGGGAAAAGCATTTTGTCGAAACAGTTGCACATGCATAACTTCAGGGCAGTAAGACGATGATTTGTTAGAATCAAAAAAGTTGAAAAGTCAGATTACAATGAACAAAGATGAAGATTTCGCCTTAAGACGTACGTTTGCACGCATAAAAGTCAGTCTCGAAATCTGCGAACGTCTCTTTATAATGATTTTCCACGCATCTGTCACACTTCTGTCCAGTCACATTATCTCTACATGCTCCACAGTTTCCCATCTCGTCACAGGCAACTGTCATTTCTCGGCCACTATCTTTGGACATTACAGAGTATTCGATTCCTTTCGGGTCGCATTCGCACTTCTCACAGCCAGAAAACCCAGGAACCACCTTGCATACAAAAACAAGCGGTCGTGAAACATAACAGTGATCTCATATATTCATTGAAAATGTTGTATGTTCTCTTGAACCTTCAAGTTTTCTTAACGGCTTTTGAGCAATCAAATTATGACTATAACATGAAAACGTGACGCAATTGAAACAAGAAAAGACTATAATTACTCCGATAAAAACATATCCAACATACAGTTCGAAAAGAGTCAGTAATTGCAAAAAAAACTCCACAAACGCAAGAGTCAACAAACGCAAATAAAACTTTCAAATTTTTAAGAAAAAAAACATAAAAATTTAGAGCTCTTTGAATTTTCAAGAACAGTTTATAATGGACACTTTATTGATAAAATATACCCAACTGGCGAAAACTGGATCTATAGGTAAAATTTATAATCTGCTGGGAAATCTGAAAATTAAACTCCACTTTCAAAACTAGAAGTCGACCACAATTTTCAGAACTTCTACAATTTTGCTGTTCGATAGTGGAGTTTGCCATCAGTTTAACAAAGTAAATGAGATGAACTTAGAACAAAATCAAAATTCAAACCGCAAAAAATCAATTTTCAGTTTAACAAAAATCCAAAAAAATCGTATATCTCTTTTCTTTATCTCATATAAAGATAAGACCTATGAAAGAGCCTTGACGACGTTCATCGACTCTTAAAAACAAAATCAGACAACAATTGCATCATGATAATTTTAATGACCCAGGAAGGACTAGATGAGAGGCATTTTGAGTGCTAATAAGGGTCTACACGAAACACAATATACAGCCAAAATATGAAACACAAAGCAGAGCTTCGCATCACTTGCGATTCAAAACTACAAGAGATTTCCACAGATAATCTGGCTCAAACGAAAAAAAAAAAATTAAACGAATTATGGTAAAAAAAATCGTCAGCAGAAAATTTAAAGAACTTAATTACCAAATACATAGAGGATTCAGGCTACACAACCTCCACTTCTTTTTTTCAGAGTACTGTTAGATGAAAAAGATACGATTTTCGGTTCACAAAACATGATCGAAAAATTTCATAATTCACTAAGAAACTTCATTGAAAATCTTCGAACCAAACAAACTGCATGTGAATCAAGAACATCCGGATGTATCAAAATCCACTTTTGATTGCTTGCTAAAAACAAAAATCAAATGAACGAAAAAAGTGATCATTGAGAATTCCGAAAAAATTGAATACAAAAAATTCAAACGCATACACGAACAACAATTAAAGCACCACAAAAATTTCAAACAAATACACGAACAAAAATTAAAGCACCACAAAAAACAAACAAAAAAATTGTTAATTTTGATTACTAGATTGTCCATATCCACTAAATCTAAAGCGCGACTAATAATCCTAACGAATTCAAACGACCGGACAATTTTAAAAGTATCAATGAACGCACGGAAACAGAAAAAAAAACTAATTTGTTTGCTGATAAATTCCGCATACCAGTATATGATCAAGGGTATCAGGACTATTTGCCCCAAGTCAATTGGCCCTATGCCAACTTGTCCTATACTAACTTGACCTACAAGAACGAAAGATGGCTGGACAATTTTTGGATTTATAGTATAATTTCAAATAGGCATCGGTGAAGGCTGAATATTAGTACATAGAGGATCAGTCTACCTTTGACTAAAAAAAGGTACTGGAAAAAGTGAAAAAATAAAGTGGTGAAGGCAAAATAAATTATTTGATGTGCCAAAAAAACACACCTCTGAAGCCTCTGGAGGCGCTGCAGTAGTAGTGTTCGAAATTGATTGGAGTCCGAATGTGCCAGATGCGCATTGATCACACTTTCTGCCCACAACATTAGGCAGACAGGTGCACTGGCCTGATATGACGTCACAAGAAGGGGACTTGGAGCCATGAGGGTCACAGTCACATGGAGAACAGCCTATGAACAAATTTCAAACTTTTTCCAATAAAACACTGAAATTTTGTGTTTTGTTGGAACATATTTTAGTGTTTTATTGGAAAAAGTTTGAAATATGTTCCAACAAAACACAAAATTTCAAACTTTTCCCAATTAAAACAAAAATATGCTAAGGGTCAGTTCTTTTTCTAAGACTTAATAAAGAACACAATGCACTGACCTTGGCCACTGAGTACTCCGTAGTATCCCTCTACACAAGTGTCACATCGCCTGCCCACTACATACGGTCTGCAAACACATGCCCCTGTGTACGGACTGCAGCTCTGTCGTCCAGCCACTCCTACCTAAAAAGTAGATGTTTAAAATATAGCTAACAATTAATTGATAAACTGAAGAACAGAAAAAAGTCTGCTTTCAGATTTCGAGTTTTCTTGAGCAAAAAAAATCACCTTAAATAAAATCATCTGAGAATCTTTTATGGTTGACACTAGATCAATGGAACTAACTGAAAACTTGCGAATGATATATTCCTTGCTATCGCACAAGGAACTAAAAAGAGTATATAGACAGAGAAAGCACCCTAGCCTCAGAATAGTCCCTGGAGGATCCCTGAGGTAGACAGTTGCAGGGGGTACAGGAGGAGGGATTGTCTGACGCACTTCCATAATGGTCAGACACACACTTCTCACAGTGGTCCCCCATTGTGTTGTTGGTGCATTGGTTGCACTTGCCTTTCAGTCTAATTAGAGAACGAAGTCTAGGAAAAACTAGGAAAATAATTAGATATTTTAGAACCTAGGTACAATCATGCTTCAGGTGGCCACCAATAATTAAGCATCCAAGAACACTAAAAACTTTGCAAGGGGGAGTAGACGGAAAAACAGCCGACTATGAATATATTGAGACTATGAATGCACTTACTGGTCACAGTAGCTCTGCACTGAAGACTCGTCTACATTTCCGTTGCAGTCGCACTTGATGCACTTGCCACTTCGCTGATAAAAGCCCCGCTTGCACACATCACATTTGGGCCCTACACGAATAATCTTAGACAGGATTACTAATACCACTGGATTACTGAAAAAAAAGTATACAATAACAAAATATATTTTAAATCATTTCATTTGATTAATTTTATCAATGAAATTGAGACAAAATAGTGTTTCTCCTGAAATAAAGCAGACGGAAAGTAGTTGAAAAAATGTCAATGAACTTGAAGAAATCGAGAAAAATGAGGCGTTTTCTGAAGATTTTTCGAACTTTCGAAGAAAAACATCACCTTGAAGCCCTTTCAATTTCAAGAATTATTCATGATGGACACTTTTTTCAAAAACCTAAACCAATTTAAGACTTACTTTCGCGAGTGTCAAAAATTGGACCAATATAGAATATTTTCATTCCGCTGGGATATCTATAAATTAAAATCTTTATCTACTTTCAAAGCTAAATTCATTCACGTTTGAAAAATTAATGCCCCTACGTGAATCAACCCTGACTTCTAAAGAACCGAACAACAAGCTATTGATAAACTAGATGACATGATATTAAACTACCAATAACGTGCAGCCAAACCGCCACAAAGTAAGCAAAATTTTATGCCAGTTGAATTGGAAAAAATTGGCTATATTACCGAAAACTCTAAAAAAATTTTAAAGAATCGTTAGATTGGTCAAACTTACAAAATCTCAAAAACATCATAAAAATGCAAAAAAAATACGAAATCTTGGATCTGAATTACCCGCACTTAAGCTTAGCACTACTTGCCATACAATACATACATGCATGACAAACTAATGAACAGATATAGAGATAGCGGCAGAAAAAATTTAGTTTTGTTTTGGAAAAATCATCGAAAAAAATTATCTACCAAAAGTGTTTCTAGAAGTAAGAGAATTAAATTTCAAAAACGATTCTAAAATGTGGCAACTATGCCGAAAAAACATAGGCAGACAAATAACAGGCAGCAACTTTATTTGAACACAGAGGCGAAGCTGCGCTTCGCAAACACAAGCGACCAAAATGCAAAAAGAGCTCTAAACAGGCATAACAAAGTGAAATACGGCAAAAAAAGACTAGAAAAAACTATAGTATTTTTTGCTGAGATTAGGAGCATCACGCTCTTACATCTGCTCCACGATCGCTTGTAATTTTACTTAAACTAGCCACCAAGTAAGCAGCTACAGTTTCTAAATTGCCAATGCGAATTGCAAAATTCGACCAAAAAACGATTTCAATGATCCGGATTTGAATCTCCGACCAGTTTTTTAAGCCAGGCATCTGCGCCATGCTTACTTGGAAGTAAACTAGAGGCTCAACTAATGCTGGATGCGCCTGTTTTAATACTTTTAATTATATTGTATTGATACGGAAAAGCCCTGGTGATTGCTCTGCTTAAGTAGTGGATTAACCGCTAATTTAAAGAAGAAAACGAGTACTATCTCTTTCAAGTCAAATTCTGTCTCTCAGATTTGGCTGGGTAATTTTCGAAACAAATAAAAAGATTCCAAAAAATGATCAAAATTTGATTTTTCCTAAATCCATAAACTTTACTCTACTAAAGTATGGGAATAGCCTCTTATGCAGGGAAAATTTCCAGACCTAAACTTTAGACTGAACCCTTGGTCTCCGATTTAGCTAGTAGTTTTTGAGGAAAATGATGAACTTTTTTCCGAAGCCCATATAAGCTTTTCTACAAACAAGTAGGGTGTAACAGATTACTCAAAACTAAGCACCATGTTATTTTTGATAAAGTATCAACCTCCGAATCGGCAGGTTAGTTTTTGGAAAAAACAAGCAAAATTTCAAAAATTGGACCTTTTTTAACGCCATATTTCATCAAAACAAAGACGCTTTTGCAGAGATGAGTCGCAAAATTGGTTTTTTAAACTTTCGGTTGAACCCTTAATTTCCAATTTCGTTGAATAGTTTTTGAGAAAAAAATTAAAAATTAACCAATATGTCAAAAATGGTCTTGTTTGAGCCTTAACTTTTAAAAAATAATTTTGGGGTATAGCCACTTGAGAAGAGGAGATTCCCATAATTTGTTCTTTTGATAGGAAAGTTCATCTCAGATTTGTGCATTTAATATTTGAGAAATTTCGAAGGCCGTAGAACGTGCAGTAAAATGAAAACAGACTAGAAAAATATGCAGGCATATAGAAGAGCAGCCTGTTTTTCCGTTGATACAAATTTTCTGAAAATAGGTTTAGTACTTTTCGAGAAAAATTGAAAATTCTGCGAACAATGCAAAAAATTCAACAACAAAAAACAACAAAAAACAATGAATCCCATACATTTTCAAAATAACTGTTTTTTTTTCACACCGGACCTAACACTAGTCAAAAAAGCAGCAGCATATGCTGTGGAATTGCCTTTGCTTAAATATGATTAAAATGAAATATACCAAAAGTGTCACTAAATGAGCACTTTTATTTGCGACGTAGGAAAAAAATCTTCGTAATTATACACTACGCTTCGCTTGTGTGAATGTTTCAAGTTTCAAGCGTCTTTGTTACCTCCAGGCTAAGTGTAACGGAGACCCTAAAAAAATTGAACTAAATATTAAACAAGGCACCACCAAGGACGAGTCCAGATGAGTGCTGTGAACAAAACTGTTTACGGACAAAAAGACTAGTACCCGGCTAATCGCAAGGGCGATGAAGCTCAGAAAATAGTGATTACCTTACGTCTCAAAAGTCATGATTTCCAAATAGCATTCAAAACGGCATAAGTTCTAAGCAACATTGCTTCAAACATAGCCAACTGACAGTTAGAAAAGAGTAAAAACGCAAGAAAACTGAAAATAAACTGAATTGTTATTGAAAAACCCTCAACTTTTGAATTTCGTAGAGCAATTTATGATCGCCGCTTTTTTGATAAAATTAACCCAATTTGAGAAAACTGAACCAAAAGGTAATTTTTTTTATTTCACTGAGAAATCGGATTTATTTGCATTTTCGAAATTAGCAGTTGATCAAGTTGTTCGTGACCTTAACATGTCTGCTGTTCGATGAGCGTCAACAAATATTAGCCTGACTTTTAACTGAAAACATAACAAAAGATCACCAATAGCTATATAAGAGTACTCACAACGTTCATTTCTTAGAAACATAGCATGACAAAAATGAAACGTAATTTTAAATTTTGCTGCGAATTCAGAAAAAAATTAATTTTTGAAACTTAATAAATATCACGTTTTTTGTGCCACTTATATTTTGTTGTTGGTAGTGGAGTTTACCTTCCTTTTAACAAATGCAATGAACTAGAATTAAGAGAAAAAACGGCAAAAAATCACTACGTTGTTTTACACTTCAACTAGATACATCAAAATTTTAAAGTCACAATTTTTAATGGTGGAAGCTCTTTGGGCTGGAAAAAAATGGAACAAATATTTTTTGAAACTTGCGTTTCCCTTAACATAAAAAAAACATAAAATTAAGTTTTAGGGTACAAAAATAAGCTCTTTTTATTCCAAGAACAACTTATCATTGACACTTTGTTGATTAAATCAACTCTGTTTCAGAACACTGGATACCGAGGTAAAATTTGTATCCCACGTGGAAATCTAAAAATAAAAATCCACTTTGGAAATAAGAAACAATTTTAGTGACCTTTGTATTTTTACTGTTCGATAGTGGATGTAACATACATGAACTTTAACATTCACCTTCGTAAGTAAAGACATTGAACTTTGATTAGTGGCGTGATATTGATATTTATAAACAGCGTGATGTTAAGTAAAGTTCATGGTATGTTAGATGCTAATCATGTCAATACTGATTGAGATCACAATTATATTCAGCCACCAAAACCAGGCGAATCAACTTTGAATTAAAGTTTACAATCTCCGTTTTCAATAACATCAGGGGACGTCTGACGGACTAACAACACGCATCCGAAAAATAAATTCAATTGTATAAGAGCTCAAATGAAGTGCAATATCATTGATATGCGATATGGTGACAGGAGTGTAACATACATGAACTTTAACATTCACCTTCGTAAGTAAAGACATTGAACTTTGATTAGTGGCGTGATGTTGAAACTTATAAATAGCGTGATGTTAAGTAAAGTTCATGGTATGTTAGAAGCTAATCTTGTCAATACTGATTGAGAACACAAAATTATATTCAGCCACCAAAACCAGGCGAATCAACTTTGAATTAAAGTTTACAATATCCGTTTTCAGTAACATCAGGGGACGTCGGACGGACTAACAACACGCATCCGAAAAATAAATTCAACTGTATAAGAGCTCAAATAAAGTGCAATATCATTAATATGCGATAGTGGAATTTGCCTTCCCTCTTAAAAAATGAACTGAAGTTAAAAAAAAATCAAACGTCAAACCACGAAAAATCTAATTTGAACGTGAACGAATTATACCTTTTCCTGAAAATAACCATCACACCCTATATATAAAAGAAAACTTCGCTACATCACCGAATCCTAATAAAAACATAGCCAACAGAAAGTCGGAAAAAAGTCAATACATGCAAAGCATCAGAAAAAACGAACTTGTTTTTCGAAAAATTTTCGAATTTCGAAGAAAACAAATGACTGTATAGCTCAAAAACAATTTATGATTGGTATTTTTTTGACGAAAGTAACTCAATTTGACAAAAACTGCAGTGCACGGTAAAATTTTTACTCCGCTAGGAAATCTAAAAATTAACTTCCACTTTCGAAACTATAAACGATCACTTTTTTTGCACTATTTTCTTTCGTAATGGGAGAACGAATTTTGCCTGACTTTTAGCAAATGAAGTTGAATTGACATTTGAAGCGTCACAGTAGACGCAATAATCTGTGATACTTTAAAAGCTACTAGCTGTTACCCTTGCCCTTACTGTTACAATCTCACAATTGTTATAATCCCATAAACTGTGATAGATCTTGGACAGTGGTTGTATTCTATATTGCTAATTTTCAGAATAATTACCGTCTTTATTATTATCGCCTGTAAAATTTTAGGAACTCGACGGCTTTTACGAACTGGGATTGCAAAAAAAACTCGATCGTGAACCATATAAAACCTTCTAAGACTTCTAGTTACAACATGCAATCGATGTTTATTTAAGATTGGGGAGAGGAAGTGCCGACTCACCAGTGTAGCCCTGGGGACACTCCACGCACACTACATCTTCTCTTTTCTGTTCACACTTTCCATTCCTCAACAGTCCAGTTGTGGGATCAGAGACAATGCTGCAGGGACAGGGCTCACAAGCGAATTCAGAAGGGTCTTTAGAAGGCAATCCAAAGAAACCAGGCTTGCATTGGTCACATTGTGCACCGATGGTGTTGTGCTCACAATTGCAGTCACCTGCAGATAGCATCCACAAATAATTTCAGCTATTTGAAATCGATTTTTTTAATACAACGAATCAATTAGGCTCATCTACTTTTACAAAACACATAATAAATGAAACGTTTAATTAGCAAAAGTGGTTAAGTCTGGCGAACCAATTATTTCTTCCCTAATATAGCACATAATTCGATCAACTAGAGATCCTTAAGTGTAACGAAGTGATTCTTAAGACCAAGTGAACAAGCTCATCCCACATCAACTAAGGGAGGAGAGATCATTCAATGGATGAAAAAGCTTTCTTTTTGAGCCAATCAAAATTCAGCAATTTTCATGTTCGCGAAGGGTTGCATAAACTTACCGATCTTTTTTAGTGGGGAAGATGGGAATAAAAGCAATAAGGGCGATCGTTCACTTAGTTAATTTTTGGAATAGATTTAGTTTGGTTAGTTTAGTACAAGGTCCGAATCTTCAGACATTTTGATATTGTGATTTCAACCTACCTGTGAGTGGGTCACAGTCGGAAGCGTGACTGTTGCAGTTGCACTTCACACACTCACTCAACTGACCCAACTCCACATTCAACCTCCTGTACCCTGAAACAATAAAGAGGCAGGAGTTTTCAATCTAACGTCAATTAATTGTAATTTGACATCTAACGTCAATTAAATGCAATCTGACAGGTCAGGTCCTGAACTTTATGAACCTTCTACCCTAAATTAAATGAAAGAAACTATAAAGATTTGTATTAAAAAGCGTCATTTACCTTGCTTTCAGCAAATTAAATTAAAGTCCACTTCAAAAAACCGCTCAAATATAATTTTAGCGCAATTTATACCTAAAAAAACCACAAGGAAAAAATTCACTTCGTTAATCAACACTTCACTAGTAGTTTATAGGAAATAAAGTCTTCATCCGGATTTGATAAAGCTAGCTAATAGCCAGAACTAAAATATTTAATTTGGAACATTTTATTCGATCCATGCTTTAAGTTTCAATAGTCTCCACGTATTATGCAGCATTAAAGATTGTGAGGATATTCATTACAACACCCAAATAAGGGTGGCCATTGTGTTGAAGTCCTCCAAGCGGGCGGCCAGTGGAAACGGGGGCGAGGTATGAGGCTCATACTTGAGCATACTGAAGACCGGTTCTCGGCAAAAGGAGCCCCTGATGGGGCCAGCTATCTCGGCAGCTTCCTGTACAACACAAACTCAATGAGCAACACAGTGAGGGGCAGAAATTCTGATGACCGTTGGAATCTTCCTTCATCTGGCTTAAAGAGTGGTCTGAAGCGGGCATGGCTGACCTGCCGGAGACCTAAAATCTATAGAGGCCAATGTCACGGGGGAGGGGAAAGGGGAACCAGACGGAGGTGCGACAAGAGGGAACCAGGGGGTGATGCTTGGTTCTTCCGGAGGGGAACAGCAAGAACGGAGAGGAGAAGAGAGAAAGTGGACTCAAAGAGGGCACAACAGAAGAGCAAGGGACGAAAAGCCGCGATGATAGCCCACCAAAAGATCCTGAGATGGAGCAGGCCATGCTGGCAGGCCGAAAAGGAGGTACGGGTAGCAACCTGGAACGTACAGGCCATGAGCGTGAATGGGAATCAGTCAAAGCTGAAAGCGTTGGTCAAAAGAAGCCAGGAAAACGGATGGACAGTGGTGATGGCGACAGACAGCAATGCAGAATGCAACGGACACTTGGAAATCGACGACTGGACATTCATTCATGGCCGGAAGACAGGCATTTTGCTCAAACCCGAATGGTCGACGAGATGGCGATTAGACGGAAGCACGTGCAGCCACTCAAACCGAATTAGCAATGTCACAGTTGGAGATTGGACCATAGTATCTGCGTACGCACCGACGTCACTGAGGAGGGATAAAGAGGAAAGACAGCTGTTCTGGCAGGATCTGGAGGGTGTAGTCTCTACAGCACCAGCGAGAAGCTTCCTCTTATTGGGAGGAGACTTCAACGCGCAGATTGGCGGGAGGATACAAGAGGAAGACGAAGAGGAGAGCGCAACTGGTAGGTTTGGATTAGAGGCGGACACGCACACTGGATCGCAAATGAGAGAGTGGTTACAGTTCAACGGGTTGTGTTACTGGAACTCTTTCTTTGGCCAGAAGAAACGAGGCACGTGGCTTCGAAGGATGAGCGGAAAGTGGTACGAATTGGACGGCTTTGTGGGGCGCCTTTCCCACAGAGCCAAGGTGAAGAGAGTGCGAACAAAGGGTGTCCAATTGTGCACACCGGGTACGGACCACCTGCCAAAGGAAGCGGCGATAGTAACAGAGAATACAAAAAGGTGTACAAGAAACCAACCAGAAAGGTGAACATAGAAAAATTACATGAGCGCTGGAATGACGAGGAAGTCAAACAGAGGAGGTTTGAATTCGAGGAGGCGATGCAACATCAAATGAGGGTGGAACAGCCGAAAACCTGGGAGGCAGTTGCTCAAGTTGAGCAAAAGGTAGCGGAAGAGAAACTAGGAGTGAGAGCACGTCATGTGGATGAGCCATGGCTTGTAATGCACGAAGATGAGCTCAAATCGATGGCGGCAAAAAGACACGAACTTCTGGAAAGGATGAGAGCTGAAACGGGAGCCGAAGCAGTCCGACTTTTTGGATTGATGGGAGAAATAAAGAAGAAGATCCGGAAGAAAAAGAGACAGTGGGAAACAGAATACTGGGATACTGTGATTGAGGAATCGGTACAGGCCTCACGCAGAGGAGACTTAGGAGCAATGTACAGCATTCTCAATAGGCTGGGCTCTAGGTCGGCCAGTAGAGCACCACAGTCGACTAACACTAACCTATTTACGCCAGAGCAATGCAAGCAGCACTATGAGAAAATCAGTGCAACGCGGGGAGAAGTGAGCAGAGATGCGATTGACCGCGTGTCCAGGGCATGGGACGAAGCTTGGGCCGACTACCTGGATGAGGTACCAGGAGATCAAGAGATTGAAACAGCAATAGTCAACACCAAGAACAAGGCGGGTGGGAAAGACAATGTCAGGATTGAGTATATTAAGTATGGAGGTCAGGCCATTGTGGAAGCCACGATACAATTGGTAAAACAGATATGGACTAAGCCTGCGGAACAGTGGGAAAACCTAGTGAAAGTCGGGATTCAATGCTCTCTTTATAAGGGCAAAGGAGACCGAGCGAGCCTAGACAACTACCGAGGCGTAGTACTCCTACCAATGTTATCAAGGATTGTGGCTAGAATTTGCGCGAGCAGGCTGAGCAAATGGGCAGAAGGAACAAACCTTCTGTCTGCAACACAATTTGGCTTCCGGAGAGGAATGGGAACTGAAGACGCAATCCATATTATACGCAGAGTGTTCGAGGAATGCCAAGAGCGGAACCACGAAATACAAGATGAGGAGGAAACGCCAATGGCAGGATTAAGGGACCTAAGAAAGGCTTACCCATCGACACAGCGCGACGCAATGTGGGAAATAATGGAAAGGAAGGGAATGCGAAAAAATGGCCACATGCTCCGGACAATGAAAGGCTTACACGAACACACAGAGTACGCCTGTCGAGTGGGCAACCAGCTTTCCGAGCAGTATCGTCCGAAACGGGGACTAAGGGAAGGGTGTCCGTCGTCGCCCATTTGTTTCAATATATTCCACGACCAGAGTGTTAGACACATGCGAGAACAAAGGCAGAGAAATGCCGTTGAAAAAAACCTTGGTGCGGTTGGACTCAAATGGAAATGGAGGAAAAAGGCCAAAGCTACATACCAACAAAATACCGAGAGAAACGCTCATGAAACACTAGAGACAACAATAGACAACATCCTACTTGCCGATGATACAACGATGATTGGATCGAGGAAAGAGCTGCAGGTTGGCGGCGGGATGGAGACAGTGACAAGAGCATTAACTGATCTCCAGCAAAAAGAGAATGAGGATAAGCGGGAATGGATCGAGCTAGGGCGACCAAATAACGTGCGGTTCCTGGGGACATGGCTCGACCTCGACGAAGACATGAAACAAAGGATAAAAAGAGGGTACGGAGCTTGGGCCAAAATGAGGAATAAGCTGGCCAAGTCGCGAATTTCGCACCGGAAACAAGCCCAAATCGTCCGAGCTACGGTCATGACCACGATGCTGTACGCCTGTAAGTCCAGACCATGGCGGGAGTACGAGTATTCAAGGATCCAATCAGTCATGGATCGATGCTACAGATACATCGTCGGTCAAAACCTGCGGAGAATGGCAGATGAGAGAAAGAACATGTTCGATATAAGAAGGAGCCTGGGTGTGGCAAGAGTTAAACGAGAAATCGAGAAACAATGTATGGAGTGGTGCGGACATGTGATGAGGATGGCGGACTCAAACCTCGTTAAACAGACAGTGAAGGGATGGCTAGACAACAAGACGTTGAAACTCGGGAAAATAGGGGCCAAACCGACACTACAACGATTCTGGAAAAGGAAACTCCCAGAAATAGAAGTGGACCCGGAGTATCTTGAGGTGATAGCCGGTGACAGGACAGAGTGGAGGAGGAAGATAAGAGACCGATATGAAAAGGGGTGCCTGGAAGATGACAGCAAGTCGAATGAAGAAAGGCGTAATCAGGAGCAAATCCTGGAAGACCACCGGAAGTTGTCGGGAACCGCGATGTGGCTTCTCAACAAATGCACTTCTGTGGACTCTGCCAGCAATCTGGTTTTGCGGAGAGAAGAGCGCTGATGGTCCACAACCAGCTAAAACATCAGCAACAAAGGGAACACCTCGGAGGATACGAATGCCAGAAAGGTTGTAAGAAAATGATCAAAACCCCACAGGCAAGAGGTACACACGAACGAACGTGTCTAGGGGATGAAGCTGCTACAAAAGCCGAGTATCACAGGAAAAGAAATGAAAGTCTGCGCCGGGAGAGAGAGAGTTAACAAACCCTGCTCAGTTTTTCTGTGACGTATGTCAGGAAGGGTACGCGACAAAAGCCGGTCTTTCCTCGCACATGAGGTCTCATCAAAGAGTGGAAGCACCATTACCGAGAGAACCGAGAACCACATGTTTAAAAAGGATTCCACATCGAGATGAGAACGGAGAGTGCTTTTACCAGTGTCGGAAAGGCTGTGGAAAGACGTCACGAAAAGCAGGCTCAATCGCCAGGCATGAAAATGCATGTGAACCTCAACCACAAAGGGAAACAGAGGTGATTGAAGCTCCCACACCGGAACTGCTAAACGAAGGGGACCAACAAGGTACATCTCAGTCGGTGCCAGACAGAGAAGATCAAATGAGCCGAACGGAGGGGGAAGCGACATTTGTAGGATACCAGTGCGACCGCTGTACCTTTGTGGCAAAAACAAAGTGCGGACTGGGGTCACATAACCGAAGCCACCTAAGGAAGGACGCTGCGGTCAGACTGGGGGGTACAGGAGTGGAATCAACATCTTTGTCGGTTCCAGACGAAAGGGACCAACCCGGAACATCTCGATCGGTGAGCCAAACGGAATGTGAGGAGCCAGGTCTAGGGTATCAATGCGAGCGCTGTACGTTTGTTGCAAAAACGAAGTGTGTACTTGGGTCACATAACCGGAGCCACCTTAGGAAGGACGCGGCGATCAGACCACCAGAGGGTAGGGTGGAATCAGGGACGACAGTGGAGTTGGAGGTACCGGGGAGCGAAACCAGGGGAGGGTACCCCTGCGACCGATGCAGCCTTGTTGCAAGGACGGCAGCTGGGTTAAGCTCGCATAGACGGAGTCACGAGAGGGCGGATCTGAGGAATCGGGGAAGACGATACGAAACTGAGGAACGGAGGGAGAACGAGCAGGAACTACCGGAAGCAAGGGTGGAACCAGAGACGACGACGGCGGAGCTGGAGGTAGTGCAAGGAACGCCAACAGGTTTTCCCTGCGATCGATGCAGCCTTGTCGCAAAATCAGGAGCTGGATTAAGCTCACACAAACGAAGCCACTTAAGAAAGGAAGAGATGAATCGGAGACGGACTGGGGGGGGGGGGGGGGGGGGCGAACACCTGACCCCGATGGAGCCCCCTGTTTTTCCTTCAGAAGGAACTTTTATCCCCTAACCCCAGTGACGGGCATGGGCCTCTTTTGGCTCGCAACTCCCAACAGAACAGAACCCAAATAAGGCAAAAAATTATAACCACTTCCAAGGCAGCAACTTTGTAATGAGCGGGGAGACGGCTGGGCGTATATCTTGGTGGGAGATTAAAATATAGCTACCTGGCGCACAGTCCTGACAATGTGTACCGGAGTAGGCTTCCGGGCATTGGCATATCTCTGAGGCCACCTTCTGTGCACTGGTGAAGGAGTACTCCTCAGTCGCATACTCCAAAGCTACGTTCTTCAGGTCACACGAGATGTCTGAAATGAGACAGAAACACATGAATAACAGTCTCTTTTCTACTACTCCCGCCACATTTGGTTTTTAATTGGCCATAACCTAATATAATGAAACCTTATTTGAGAAAACTTAAGTAAAATTTAGTTTTTCGCTGGGAAATCTGAAACTTAAATTCCATTTTTGAAACTAGAAGTCGATCACATCCCATAGTAAAAGTTGCATTGCAGTATAACACAACGCTCCGCCTGTGTAAATAACGCTGGGAATTATGAAGACCAAAACCATTTTTTAGCTAAAAACAAGCTCCATTCTCGCCCATTTGCATTTTCGTTACTGGAGAGCATAATTTGCCTTCCACTTAGTAAATGCATTATAAGTTTTAAAACTGAGTCTTGTGGTTGTTTAATTTGCACTGGTATAAGTCTTGCGGTTTTTTTTCCAAGTAGAAGCCTCAATTCTGTCAGCTCATCAATATACTTCTTGGTAGATCACCAAAAAGCATATTGATGAGCTTTCAAAATTCAGGCTTTTACTTGAAAAAAAAACAAGAATTATACCAGTGCTAATTAAATTCGCTCGTTAAAACTTAATTCGCAATCGCATTTATCTTTGTTGGCATAGTTTTGCTCATTCAATGAAAGCTACATAGACGTAAATGTAGTTTATCCGAGAGAAGTTGACTTCAACTCGCAGATTTTATGCATGCATTGGATACGATGGTCCTAAAAGCAACAAATTCTCGACTGAGAGCCGTGCGCTGTTACCTTTACCATCATTTACTTCTTTTTGAAATTTTTCAATATCTCAGAAAAATTTAGTGTCAGTTATTGCTTTACCTCCGTATGCGCCTCTGATGAGTATGCTGTTGACATTGAGGAGCATCGACTGAAAATCAACGGGTGACAGGGCAGGCTGCCAAGCTTCAGTCTCCGTCAAGCTGAAATAACCAGACACCGAAATGCGACAAGGAGAGAATATAACTTGTCCACGTCATTTTCGGGATGCCGAAAAATCTTTCATGAACCAATTCGTTCATAAACAGGAACTTTTCTAGTCTTTCATAAGCTTTTCATAAACAGGAAACCTAGTCTCTGCAACAGACTCGTCGTATTTAATTAACGTCAATTTGGCTTCTTTAAACTTGAGAAAAATCAAAAAAGCGGATCTGAAATGTACAACAAATAAAAGAACCGCTGAGATCAAAACCTCAGTTGGAAAACGTCAATGAACGCAAAAAACCAAAAATGTCAATGAACTTAAAAAACCAAAAAGAAATCTATATAAATTCAATCTTTTATAATAGACATTTTGATTTTAAAACAACAATTAGAGAAAACTGGATCAATAAAAGTAGTTTTTTATTCTGCTGTATCCAGTACTCAAATCCAGGTTGTAAGCTAAAACTCAATGACTTTTCCATTGGTAAATTTATACCTCTAACATAGCCAACACTTAATTGGAAAAAAAGGTCAATGAACTCAAGGAAACCAAAAAACATCATGTTAAAGCTCTTTAATTAATTCAGTTATCTTCGATGATTGAAACTTTTTTATAATACTAACCCCATTTATAAAATACTGAATCAATGAGTAAATTTTGCTTTCAGCATTGCGCTACAAGATAGCGAACGGAAAAAAAATCCAAGCTGAAAAAAAAACCTTGTAAAAATAACTAACACTACAACTAAAACAGCTCAGAGCTTTAAAAAATCATTGAGAATTATTTACAGAGCGTCAAATCAGGGCGACAAACTTTGGGGAGACCTCTGTTGATCCGAAAAAAAAAACTGTTGCCATAAAAATTTTAGGATTTAGTATTTTTTGGACCCATCCGTTCTAAATACTGAAACTCATGATCGCAAAAGCGGATGATATTCCACTCAAAACTACGCAATTTAGGTCGAAGAAGCCGATACAACATAAACCACGACCCCGAAAAAATCTCTATATACCAAAGTTATTTACGGGAAAAAAGTTAAGAAACCGATTGCAACACTAACTCCACATTCGAAACTAAAAGTCAGTCACATATTTCATGAAAAAGCACAAAAAATAACGACCTCACTTAACTTCTTCAATGCGATCATTGCCAATTCTACAAAAACCATGCAAAAAGATGCAGATAAGCAACCGAAAAAAACGGAAAATCAATTTACTTTTGACTTTTCCGTTTTTACTGTTGAAAAACCTTAATATTTACTAGTGATAGAAAACATTAATTTCTCGTAGAAAGAGAACAGACTGAAACACACATCACCGCTTTAAATCGTTCTTGTAGAGAACAAACTCGCCGTTTAAATTAAAAATTTAGACACGAAAAATAATAATTCAGCCGACAAAGATTTCTTCAGAAAAAATCTAGCCAAACGAAAGAATGAAAAATTTTTGTGAAACTTATTATTTTCGGCAAAAGGTAAATTTTGATCTATCTATTTTAATTCTATTACATTAGGAAAAAGGAAAACAACAAACAAAGCCAACAGACAGTTGGAAAAGAGTCAATGATTTCAGGGAAACAAAAAAAACTGGTTTTTAAAAAATATAAACTTTCGACTTCACAGCAAAAAAACATATATAACATTAATGCTCTTTGAATTTCCAGCGCAGTTTATGATTGACACATTTTCTAATTAAATTGAAGTAATTTGAGAAAACTGGATAGGTAAGAGAAACTTTTATTCGACTGGGAAACCTGTAAACTGAAATTTGATCAAGTTTGTCATGACCTTTTCACTTTTGACGTATTCAAAAGTCAAAATGCGAAAAATCAAATAAGAGCGAGGGCAAAATTTTTATTTCAGGAACAGTCCTGAAAAAACCCAAATCATCACGACATAAATAAGAGACTTCACTACGTTCATGGACTATAAAACGGTGAGACAAGCTGATCAAAGTTTCTTATTTTGCATTAAAATGAATTCCAAAATCCAACTAAAATGAATTGTAAAAGTTCCACTTTTCTATGCAAATAAAGGTTATATCACATTTTCAGCTCTTAGAACGCCCCATCTTTTTTATTACCGCCTTTGAAAATATGAAACACAGAGGAGAGAAAACACAAACACTAGCGAGAAAACGACAAAAAGTAGCTTTATAAAGTACAATAAGAAAAAGTAAATAAACCTCGAATTAGCAAAAATTCGGCATTGCCTGAGATTCCAACCTGCGACCATGATATTAAAAGTCACACCCAATAAACACTCAGCCACGGAAGTTTATTATATGGAAGATAGAAAAATCCACAGAGAAAGCAGAGAACAGATGCTATGCAATTTCCAATGCTACAGAAATTTCCAAATAAGCGATCGCTTTTAATGAATACTTTTATTTGCGAGTTAGGCCGATAAAAAAAGGTTCTTAATAACACACTAAGCTGACGCAGTGTAAAAAGGGAACATAGGAATGATGGACTTGTTGGAAAAACAATTACCAGAAAATAAGCGTTGTTTGTTTCATCATCAAAAATTAGTAGTTTTGATAAAGTTTTTGATATCTTTACATCTCTAGTCAACAAAAACAAAAAAGAACATATTTGAGAAAATCAAAAAAGCTGATGAGATAATATCGAAAAAACTAAAGGTCCACATCCTTGGAAAAAACCGATTTCCATTCGTGTCAATACCGTTGCTATGAAACAACTTTTGCTTAAAATCGAGCAATGTATACGGTCATCAAAAATCAGGGTCAATTTAGTTATTACCGCGCGTTCATTGCCTCTGTTTTTCCAAATGAATCGACTAGAACTAAGAAAAAAATCAACGGTCGAGCCGCAAAAAAATTGAGCATGAACAAATTGTAAGAACTTTTCTTGTTGAAAAATCCAAAAAAAAAATCAACAGGACCTTTATCAGCTCTTCACTTCGTTCATTGACCTTTAATACAACCCGCCCAATGTGAAAAAACTAGATCAATAGGTTAAGTTGTTAAAGCCGAATGAAAAACTGCAGTTTTGAAACAAAAAGTCAAGCCCTGCTGGCACTTCGGTTACCGGAGGGAGTAATTTACCTCGCATTTCGCGAATGAGTTTGAAGGGAACTTAGAAAACTATTCAACGCTATAAAGTAGAAACGCTAAAAAGTAGATATTTTACAACAGCTTGAAACTTCTAAAGAATTTTCCTTTTGAAAAAACGTACAAAAACACAAGACTAATTAAGTGTCTTCACTTCGTTCAGTGACACCCAATATAGCTCCAACTTATCAACTATATCACAGACTTCTGAGTGGCTAATATATTTTCCGGGCATTAGGTTCTTTGGGCAACAGTGGTTATCCAATTTATTTACAGAGTAAGAAACATCAAGCTGGATGAATAAGATAGCAATGTTTTATAGAACAACTAAAAAAAAATAGCATAAAACGATTTATCCCAAAATTGCTCAAATTTGCTTCTATATTAATTGCAGTGTACCCACGTGAATTCGAATTTGTTCCACTGTCTGGCCCTCAGTGGCGTGTTTCGCTGCCAGTAGAGTCCCGCCATCACGCGAACAACCTTTTTCCCAACAAACCCTTCTACAATCACATCTCGGTACGAAGTCATCACCTGAAAAAAATGATTTGTTGAGCCCAATGCCAGGCTTTCGGAAATATATTGACAAATTTTTGATACATCAAATTCAAACAACGGCTTTAAAAAATCAGATCAAATTCAGTAAAAACCAGTTTGCACTTTTGAGCGCACTTAGGGTAACGAAAACCAACTGCAAGAAAATAGGTTTGAGCAATTTAACCAAATATTCATCATTTTCACAGAGGCGAAGCGGAGCTTCGCAACACTTGCGACACACTAAAAACTTTGCATTAGAAAATGTTGATAAAAAAGTAAATAATGTTTTTGAAATTTAAACTAAAAAAATAGTCGAAAAAACTGTATCAACAAGATTCATAATTTTGGCTCAAATGATGTCCATGAACAGCCTTAAAAAACCTTGAAAGACAGAGAAAGAGCGTCAGCTTAGGCGAAACAATATAGGTCGACCCTCATTAGCCGAAACGCAACTGTAGTCAAAAATAGTTTCAGGCTATAAAGGTTTACAGAGGCGAAGCTGCGCTTCGCAAACACTTGCGAGAAAACGACCAAAAAGCAGCTCTATCAAGTGATGTCAGAAAAAAAAGCCCCGAATTTGCAAAAAATCGAGGCTTAACAACAACTCGAATTAGCAAATCGCAAATCATAAAGCCATATTAGGTAAAAACTATGCATTTCAAAAAACTGCGAGATATATTGAGTTAGAAAATTTCTGAAATCGAGATTTTAATATTGATATGTTGTTTGAAACAAATAGCTTTCTAAAAATGCATCAACTGTGTAAACTCATAAAATTTTAGAATGTCAAAGCACATGTTATCAATAAGCTGTAAAGCTGCAACTAAAAATCAAAGGTGCAACAAAATATCAAAACATCTTACTGCCCATTCGATGTAGCAAATTTGACGCAGCAAATATTGTTGCTTTAAGTCGCAACAATAAGAGCGAATTATTCGCAACAAAAACCGCAAAAATATTTGCGACGTAGGTTGGAAAAAAAGAAAGTTCACACTATAACACATTGCTTCGCAAGTGTAAAAATCAAAGTTCTTAAGATCCATCCCCAATGAAAAAGGCAAAAGCGTTAAAAAGGCAATTGCATATAATTGAAAAAATAATAATAATTTCTACCTCAATGAAATATGAACTTGTTCATTTGAATTTTCAAGAAGTTGAGCTCGTCAGCAGATAAGAAACAGAAATGTGGTAGAGAGTTGTTTATGGGGGAAGTCTAGTTCCCCATTACAGGTCACTTGCTCTCGCAAGTCAGAAGAAAGAAACATTGGCATGGTGAGACAGTTAAGAAACGTAAAAAAAAATCGAGGAATCAGTGATATAGAGGTACAGTATGATAAACACAGAGTCGAAGCAGCACTTCGCATACACAAGCAAAAACATGACCGATAACGTAAATGGGGAAAAACTGAATGAGTAAAACTTGGAGTCTATACAAAATTTCTTAAGTGAAGCACAATTATGACGCATTGTTAAAAAAAAAACGAAATTTACCAACTAACATGCCTCAATTTATAGAGCAGTCTATGGAGCAGTAATAACATGAAAAAAAAATTGAATGTAATATAATTGTTTTTTTTTTTTAATTTGAGATTTTTTTGTGAAAATCAACCCCCACACGCCATATAAACTACAAAATGATAAATTTTGGTTCTAGTAACAAATCAATTATGGCAAATAACCTTCCTTCAACAATTTGGAACGATTTCTTTGACGGATTTAAGTTCCGCGTTAATAGCGCGAAATATATCGCGCATTAATTGTCGCAAATTGGCCAAAATGGCAATTTTAAAACCCTCATAACTTTACAAAAAATGATCACCGGTAAAATATATTTCCAAATTAAAGCTCAGGACAACAATACTTTTTGAATGATATATTTTTAAAAATCCCGTCAAAAATGGCTAGTTAAAAAACCACCCAGGGCACAAATATTCCGTTACAAAAGTCGGAACAATAATAGTCTGTGTTAAAATCCTTATCATTGGCTGTACTTAATAGCTGGTTATTGATCAAACTAACGCTTTCAAAATTAACACACTTTATCGCAACATTATTTGCGTTGCAACAATATTTGCGACTTAGGTTGAAAAAAATATAGTTCATACTATACCACAAGCTTTGCTTGTGTATATAGGTACAGTTAGAAACTCAGAGGGTACAATTTCACGAAAGATAACTTCGATATATTTAGAAAATCATATCTAGAAATTTAAACAAAAAAGATGAAATGAAAACACTTTTTTGATCAAAAAGAAAGCCAATTCGAAATCCAAAAACTCTCATTTTCCTTTATGATCAAACTTTAAACACTACACTAAAAAAAATTTCATCCCAAAAATACTAAGTTGCTCATAATAAAACTGCCCAATGAAATGGAAAAAATTTGCTTAAATGAAAAAAATGATGACTGAAACTTTTTAGATAAAATTGACAACTCGATTTGAGGAAACTGTATCAAATTATATTTTTATATCGCTGAAAATTCTGAAAACTCAAGTCCATTTTGGAAGCTAAAAAGTAATTCACAAGTTTTCACGCAATTTGCACTTTCGTATTTCAACCTAGACACAGTTGCACAACAGATTCAACACGAGAAAAGCAAGAACACAAAAAAAATTAATGAGTTTTAAAAATAAATACACTGTACAGGGATCGAGCCACAGACATCGAGCATTCATATCAAAAAATCTACATAACTGCAACTGACGAGAAAAGGACAGCAAAACTTGCAACTCATGAAAGTGAAAACACAAGCTATTAAGCAAAAATTTAGTCCACTCATAATAAAATACAAAGCTCGCATCTGTAAAAAAAAATTATAGTCAAATTCAGTTTACTTGAAGTGATATCGCCAAAATGGGAATTTGAGATTGAAGAAATGATAAATTTTACTTTAAACCAAAGCCAACAGGCAGTTGGAAAAGAGTCAATTAACCCAAGAAATTTTAAAAAACGCTGACTTATCTTATGAAAAAATCTCAGCTGTCGAACTCAAAGTAAAAAAATAGATGCCCTTACAGCTCATTGCATTTCTATTAAAATTGATGATTGGCATTTTTTCGATATAATTAACTCAATTCGAGACAACTGGATCAATAAATAAATTTTTTTATTTCGATGGAAAACCTGATGATTAATTCCACTTTCGAAACTTTGAGCCTGAACAATATCTTAGACTTCTCCTGGAAAAAAGCATCTTGACCTATATAAGAGTCTGAACTACGTTCATTGACTCTCAAAAACCGAGAAGAATCACACGAACTTTAAAAATATCCACTTCGTTCATTAATTTTAAAGAAAAGCAATAGATGCCTCGTCGTAGGTAAATGCCTTAAAATTAAAAATTTGTAATAAAAAAAGACGGTTAAGCAAAAACTTTAGCCTGAAATTAAGACTTAAAACTTCAACTATGAATTCAAAAAACAAACCAGATGCGTCATAGGTAGCCTCTTTACTACTATCAGCACTGGGTCCGTAACTCACACTGTCACTATCTCACTTGCTTGAATATGAAAAACCAGGAAGCAATGAAGCACTTTACGCGTACCAATCTCATGCTGCTTTCATGGAGCAGAAACAACTTTGTGATCTTCTTAACAATCGCCCCTCCATGGTATCTGATTAAGAATTGCCACCCCTTTAAATAAAAGCAGTAAATTAGCACTAGTGTTCTCTTAAAATTCGAATTTTGCTGCATCCTAAAAGTTCAAAAATTCTACTAACTTAATCTACTTGACAATGATAACACAAAAATAGCCAGCAGCTTGGAAAAGAGTCATGAACGCAAGGAAATTTTAAAAAAATCTGACTTGTTTTTTTGAAAAAAAAACTTCAAATTTCGAATTTCAAAGAAAAAAATAGATGACCTTAAAGCTCTTTGAATTTCAAGAACAATTTATGATTGACATTATTTTGATTAAATTGACTCCATTTGAGAACACTCGATAATTAGATAAAATTTGTAATCCGCTGGCAAAACTGAAATGAAATCTACTCTGGAAATTAGAAGTCAATAGCGTTTCTGTCACCTTTACACTTTTACTGTTCGATAGTGCAGTTTGCCTTCCTTCTAACAAAGGAAATGAACTTAAGTTTAAAAACAATCAAAAGTCAAACCGCAAAAAAAATCAAATTTGAGCGTTGACAAATTTTGACTCTATCCTGAAAAACAGACAAAAAATCGAGATATAAATTGAAATAAGACTTATAAACTATCAGATACTGTCTAGATTAGATTACTTGACCTCTTCTTATCCGAGTGTTCTCAAGCTGCTGCATACCTGGCTATCACGCTTCCTTTGTTAAGGCGAAATATGAAAAAAATATTACCTCCGAGAAGGATCCGATCGGCTTCAGCTCGAACGACAGCTTAAGTCCATAACTTGAGATCCGATTGCCCACAAACTGCTTGGGCACCTCAAAGTACACAAAAGTCTCCGGCGTCGACTTCAGAGCACAATCTGATGCTGCGTTGGAAAAGGAAGAGTCGATACTGAGGCTTTTTTCTGTGGTCATAGATGATGACGACGATGAAGTTCCTCTGAGGACCATTCGACATTGGGATCCAAGTAGAGTCATGGCACGCCATCCGCCAATATTTAAACCGTATTGCTGGTCTGAAACGACAAGAATGCTGGATAATACTCCAGGATCGACCCAAAACCTATGTATTTGCCAGTTGTTCGCGAACCTTATTTTTTAATCAGATTTCCAAAACAGGCTAACCAGATTTCAAAGAATTATTTTTTCTTACCAATTTTGGAAAGATCTGATTGAATGTTGTCGACATTCAATATTTTGTTTGCCTCCGAGCAATTCTTTGAGTGGTCATAACAAAAGCATGCACGACATCCTTCGTCATTTTCGGCACTCAAATCAAAGTATCCATATTTACAGTTTTCGCACGATTTTCCTTCCACGTTAGCTTTGCATGGACAAGAACCGTCTATCGGATTACAAGTCATTCTTGATGCTCTAGTTCCTTTTAGGTCGCACTCGCATTTGGTGCATCCTTCAGTTGAACCAAACCCGTAGAACCCTGGAAGGCATTGGTCGCATAATGGACCGGTAATTCCTGGTTTACAATTACACATTCCTTTCGAATCACATTGCATATCACTGGATCCTTCTTTGTTGCAATTACAAGGGTTGCATTTACCATCTCGGGTTGAAAAATGCTCTGGTAAACATTTCTCACAATTTTGCCCGGCTGTGCTATTTTGGCACTTCAAACAGACCCCACCATTTCTGAACCCATTCCTTTGATAAACGTCATTTTTGAAAACGCAGTCACTGCTGCGACCATTACAGTCGCATCTTTCACATTCAAAGCGAGTTTCACCCAGTTTAAGGGACTTCCAAGGTTTATTGTGATGGAACCTCAGACAGTCTTGACAATTCGCTCCATCTGTATTATGTTGACATACACATACTTTATTCTTTGGATCCGTTAAGTCACATTCGTTAGCATGACCATTGCACATACATCTACCTCGTACTGTTATGTCACTGATTGCGTAATAGAAGCTCTTCAGATACATTGGATTATCTCTCAGAAGATCAGATGTAGATCTAGGCGTGTGGATTCTCAGCATGGCTAGCCTTATGTATCTTGCTTCTATTTTAGTCTGTCCTCTAGAAAAATCAACTGTGCCTCCTGATTGAGGTGAGAATCCGGACTGAGATTGATCACATTTCTGTCCCGATGATACTCTGGAATAAAATTAAGCATGTCTTAGGGTATAACAATCTCGAGCAGCAGAACTTAGAAGAGCAAGTTTACACTCTCTACTTGCTCGCTATAGGAGCTCGAAATTACACTAAAAAGCAAAAATTTGAAACCGTTTTCTTGACGCCGAGAAAATTTTTTAAGAAATCACGACGATGAGGGCTTTAGTAACTATTCCAATCACGACTGACATTGCTTTATTATGATATTTCATTCTATCTATTTTGATGGTAGCTGATGTTAAACACCCATACACTTAAGAAAACACCCAAAGACAAAGTTCCTCCCCCACTTGCAGAGTTCGAAGCAAGAAATCTTTGAGGGACGCTTCATGCAGCAAACTACAAAAACAGTCTCGGCAAAAGAGTCGTTTGAAACACTTGATTACTTTTTAGATGCTAAAAAACAGAGCACTTAAAAAATTCAAAACCTTTAGAAAACTTCACAGCTATCGAAAAATTTAAAAAATACTTAAATTTTTATGGAATTTTAAAAACTTCAATTTGAGAAAAAGTAAAGAAACACAATTATCAGCATTAGCATTAAATAGTTTTCATTATTCACCGAGAGGCTACTAAGCAGACAATACTTGGGTAGACTGCTTTAAAATTTTCATGAAAAAAGTGTGAGAGATTAAATTTTACATTACAACCGAGTAGAATTATTTTTAAAATAATCAATTTCTGCATGTAACAAAGTTTAAAAATTGAGCAAAAAAATCAAATTCCAAACTACGGAAAATCAAACCTAAGATGAAACAAATTTTAAGAAACTTTTTTTCATCACGTTTAAAAAATTCTTCGCTACGAGAAAATTTCCGACCACAATGATTAAAAGCAAAAATAAAACAAACATTTTTTTTCTATTTTGTTTTAACGAAGGGCGACTGAATTGCAAAAAAAACTTCTCCAATGAAGAGTAATAATAGCTATATGTCGGGAACAATAACTTCGTCTACGTCGTACTGAGATAAAGTTTTGGACACTGAATTACAAAGAAAAGAGCTTTATCAAAATCGGGATAGAACAAAAAACATTCTACGCCATAGTTTTTTCTTCCTCCATAGGGGCACTTTAATGCAGCAAAAAAACTGAACCAGCTCCTGTTATCTATGGTCAAAATCGTGTTTTTGAGTGAGGAAGGAGAAACAGCTTGAAGAACGTTATACTGGTTGCAATTCACAAGTCGAAACTTTTCGTGCTAGGAAAAAATTAGTTGAAACTTCAACAACTTCTTATTTGGCTAACTAATCATTTCATAGCGTTATGCTCTCTACTCGCTCGAAATTGGACTAAAAAGCAAAAAATCAACAACGATTTTCATTGCAGAAAATTTATTAGACGTTTTCTAATGTCCTTCTATTCATGGCTGCTATGGCTTTAACAGGGCAATAACACTCAGGAAAAACATCAATGATCAGTAAAAACCGTTTCTACATAAGGTCATCAGTACAATGAAAAAAAAAATAATACCCATTTAAAGCAGTAAAAATGTAAGCCATGAAATGAAAACAGAACAGAATTATAACAAAATTGCATGGAGAAAGCCACTGGAATGCGGGACAATATAGAAAAGTTACAGCTTCAGGGTCGACTCGCATACCTTGTACTCTTCTTTCGTATGGACTGAAGGCTTTTTCTGATGTAGTGCTTCCAAAGTTGAAAATTAAGCGGAGTCTCTTACTTTTTCATAGAACTTTACCTTGCAGCTCTCAATGCTAACACCACACCGTTAAGGTGTTTAACTACTGCGCTAGTAATTCTGGAATGTTTGCGCACACTTTTGGCTACATGGCGGGCTGTCTGCTCAGCATACTTGACTGCCATCTAGAACAACAAGCGATTTCATATACCACGCTGCTAAGAACTATTTCCGGTAGTTTTAATTTCAGCGATGGTAAGGCTGTTTGCTTAATAAGATGACAGAAAAATTGGCTATTTTCCGAAAAGGTTCGGAGAAAACGTCACTCTTGGTTCTAGAGCTCGTTTCTAGGCCGCCTTTTTGTGGTCCTGGTGTTTATGTCTTCTTCTTTGTGCTTCTCAATGATCTAGTTGAGAGTTTTGAGGATGATGATTTCGTAAAATTCTGTACTCAACTTTTTCCAAAATATATGCAAACTCAGTAACAAATTCCGTGAAACAATCCCCCTAGAACAGGCATTAAACACATGACTTAAAGTTCCTTGAACAATGTTTTTCTTACATCTCACAGGTGTTACGGCTCTGAAAGATGCAGCCAACCCAGTATCAGTTCGTTTTCTGTATCAGGACGAGTCAACATCAGCTCCTGTCTCTGTCACTCGAACACCAAGAAATGGAGGCCTTTCATCTTGACGTGCAAAAGTCAATACCAGGTTTCGATGAAGTTCGTTTACTCTCATCAAGATTCTTTCGATGTCACTAAGTTTTGCACTCGATATATGCCAATGATTTGTTAAGGATTAAGCCTTTCAGTGGAAAACTTAAAAAAACCTAAACACACCCGAAGACAAAGTTCCTCCCCACTGTCAGTGGCCGAAACAGCAAAATTCAAATCAAACAAAAAACTTTCTACAGACGCATTTGGTTTCCTCTAATTGTGTCTAATGAGATAAAACTCGGAATACACTAACAAATCCAACAGAAAAACGCAGTTATCCTTCGCAAACACAAGCAGCAAAACAACATACTTTAAAGAATTTGAAATATTTTTGCACAACAGCGATAAAATAGATGTAGGATGAAAGCACCATGACGCTCATTAATTAGCAAACAGAACTAGGAACAATGTTGCAATTGATGAAGGGAAGGGATTTTTTAAAAAGTATTTTGTTTTATATTTAAATTAATTAAAATCTTTCAAAGAGGACCTAGTGTGGTTACTTCGGTTATTCATATATTGGTGCTAGATTGTTATCGATCTCAAAAGTGATACCGGACATTTGAAGAAGAAAAATCGGCAAGTAGGCCGACAGAGTTAAAGCCGACACTCAATAACCTGAAACTCAGCCAAAAATTTTTTGTCAAGGCATCATATAAAACAAAATTCCATGTAACGCCTACATAGGATCAACGATAGCTATATAAGGAGTGTATGCGAAATTTGAAACTAAACCGACAGAGTTAGGTCGACAACCATGAAGCCAAAAAAGCATCAGCAGAAAAATATAATCGAAACTCTATAATTGTACATGCACCAGTCGTAACTAGTACCCAGTAGTTAAATTTGAAGTTTTATGAAATTGAGCATGTCAGCAGCAAATCAGCAAGTGATTTAACCGACTTTGTTGAAACTAGTAGTTATCTCGAAAAAAGCTTCATGACTTGCAAAACGTTGAAAGTACAATTTTTTCGAAATAACCTCATCCAAAAAAAAAAACATTTTTCAAAATATCAAGTGTATTTTGGCCTTTGTCATATGCAGCGAGAGAATTTTTTTCTACTTGGCAAAGAAGCTCAAAGTAAAGTACAAAAAAGTAGAATCGGAAACCAAAAATATGGCATGTCTTCTCTTCCTAGCGGTGAATAAATTTGCAAGATTCAGAACAGTTCTTCTCGAAAGATTTTTAAAACACCTTTCTGTATTCCGATTCACAAATAAAATGGCTTCAATATCAAATAGAAATGCTCTTTGTTGCACGGTACCCGAATTTGCATGAAAAAGAAAACAACGAAGGCCATACTTCTCTGTGTTAAGGAGTAAAGATTCTAACTCACCCTCCATACCAAGGATCCATTTGAAATTCTTCCATACAACCAACACTGTAAAACCTTACAGCATTCCATTCATCGTCAAAGCTAACTTTTGAGTATATGACCATACTATATGGTCTAGGGGACTCGAAGGTAATTGAGATACGATCAATTTCTGAAATAATCCCAAGATCTACTGTCAAATTGACCACCATCTCGTTACGATCTTTTCTCAGGTCAGCTGACTTGGAGTTCATATCAAAGATGGTGGCACTTTTCCAATGGGTCCTAGAAGTTCCGTCAACTGAGTTCTTCGGATCGTAAATGAGTGAACCCGAAGTGTCAAATTGATTACAATCCACATTTCTGAATTCGTCTGTTCCCCTAGTAACTGCTTCTAAGAAATTCTTTTCTCCGCTGATTCCACAAGTACTCGTGGCCTGCAACCCCAAAAAAACGCAATAAACATTGAGAGCAACGCATTGAAAAAAAAACAATAGAAAAAAACTAACGGATACTTTGACACCTGACGCCAAGCTGACTGTTTCAGGCTCGCAAGCATAAGACACCGTTCCAATGTAGCATGAGTTGGCATTCTGAAACAAAAACAACCCCAATTCTTGCTTATCTAGAAAATTCCGAGGATTTTGACTGGATAATGTAATGGAGGATCTCCTGACTGTAACCTCGGTTACTATGATACTTTCGACCTTCTGATTATATTTTTTTCAGATTCAATTCACTTAAACTTACCGCTCGTCGACAAATCAAAAATATTCCAAGCAGAAATAATTGAATCTGCTTCGTTTCCATTTTTGATCCGATTGCACAACCCGTATAACTTTCGAAATCACTTGTTCGAAAGTTATATTAAGTCGAACAAAAAATCTGAAAGCAGTAGAAGTGAACAAGAGGGCTAAGCGGAACTTCGCACCATTGCGATACCAGGGAACATAACCAGGCAAATATAACGAAAAACAAAATCTCCAGCGTCAAAGCACGTAGCCAGAACTTCCGGAGCAGCAACTGAGCCAAAAGTTAAAGGCTTGACGTCACTTGGGACAAAAATAAAATGTTTCCTGGAAAACTTTGAAATAAGAAATCTTGAAAACTCAAAGTTTCTACGCCTCTTCGTCGAGAAGCAGAAAAGATGAAATAGCACTATGCTTCGCAACATTGGATGACTAAAAAACAACAACAATTATATCGAAGAAAAATTGGAGTTTAAATAAAGATTTTGAAACGTTTTTGCAACTACGTGCATCGTTAGGATATTAACAATGAACCATTCTTAAATGTAGATTAAACATCAACTTTCCAAAATTGGTTTACATTACTCTACAATAATGATTTAAAAAATTCAAGGTCTGACGAAATGATGATTTACATTATTCTAAAAAAAATCACAGAAAAAAAACGTTTTGACCCCCCTTTTCGAAAAGTGCCACGCCCAAACAGTGAAACATCTAAATTAGACGCTCGAGAAACTCGGAAAACGATTACTTGACGAAAACGAAAAAATTGTTTCACCAGACATTAAGTTCAGTTGAATCCGATCATACAGGCGATTTTTCGTCTCTTTCGATCAGCTCGTGCTGTATTCCTTTTTAATTCTTCCGTATCGAATTTATTGATTCCAGTTTTTCTCCAAAAATTGTCCAGTATGTTTTTGAATTCATTGGCAAAAAAAATAACAAAAATAATCTGAAAAAAAGTCCAGAAAGTAGTGAAAAACTTGGGTTGGAACACTTAAATAGGTGAGGGGGTAAAAAATATGTGAATTTGTTTTATGCCGATTTCGAAGATAAGTAAGGGCGAATAGAAAAATTGGTGATATAATATGATACTGTGAAATCTTTCGTATTCTACCACACAGTTCAATTTGTAATAATCAATGAAATCTCTACGGAAGATACGTCGAAGACATAATTTGTTTTTGTAAAATGAACCAAAACGTTAAACTTAATAGAGTACAATTGTTGGATAAGAACTTACAATTTACTACAGAAAAAGTTAATTAAACCGGCAAATTTTGTTTTGTTTATGAATACTAGTAAATCAAAAACGATAGATAACTTGCAAACGGTATCGAAAACCAACTGATAGTGCTTTTTTTAACGATTTTTCTTTGCTGGGCACCCCTCTAGTATAAGAAGAATTTTGTTGAAGGAATACTGCATAGGATATTTTGTTGTACCAGCAACTGGAACATTTATGATTTATCAGTAACTGGGAACAAAGGAGGAAACTTGGAACATAAGTCATTACCCAGAATCCTGCTGGGCATCAAAACATTAAAAACCTACAATATAGGAGATCCTGAAAAAAATATCAAAATACCAGCAATATCAAAATACCACTATTCTCTAAGTTTTGCGTTTTGGTTCGTTTTACAAAACAAACTATTTCTTCGACGTATCTTTCGTACAGATTTCTTTGAAGCTGAAACAATTTGCGAGATAACTGATAAGCCGACAGCACTGCGAAAACTTGAGTTGATATTTGAACGAATAACTTCAAAGGTCATGTCCGGTTTTAGTCCTGTCATAGCGCAAAAAGAAAACTTGCCTGCCGTTGGTTAAATCAACAAAAGCTCACACTTAAGTTTTATTCTGACATTGTGAATGTCAGCTCAATTTGATTTTTTTGAAATAAAACATACATAAGGAGTGAAATTTTATTAATTTAACCCAAGTACTTATTAAAAGAAGTGGGCAAATCGGAAAAAAAAAATCGGACATAAGTTTCAAAAAAAAATGAACGAAATATCTCCAAAAAAGAAATTTCCACAAAACTAATTTAACAATTATGTGCTGGCCATTTTACCAACTTTAATGCTAATCATTTTGATTGAGAGAGTTTTCTAACCGCAAAATTTTTGACGTTTAGTTGCACAAAAACAATGATGGTAGTTATGCGAAAACGTTCGTATTTTACAAAAAACTTTTTTGAATGATAATTTTTTTAAAAAAATGAAGTTACATTATCTTGCTACATTACCCCACATTCCAGTAGCTTGTTTCAAAAGAATTTGCTATATAGCAATTCTATTTGGTTTCAAAATTACTTAGTTTATAAAGTTTTTTACTATGATTTTAATTTGTACATTTTTTTTTCAGTGTACTGACGACAATGTAGAAAATGATTTTTTGAGCATTGATGCTTTTCTTTGAGATTATGACAAAATATCAAAACATTTTACCATGGCCAGTTTTTCAGAAGATATTGGAAAAACGCAACACCAAATTTTGGAGAAAGATCTACGATCTGCACGAAAGTTCAGTCTTTGCTCAACCTGTCTGAAAAAAAAGACTTTATTACTAATTTCGTTCCCTTTAAAGAGGCAGCCAAAGACTTTTTTGAAAACAGAGTGTTGCAAAACTTCCAGAAACGTTTCTTGCGGTAAAGAGAAAACAAAACGCATTGCAGACAAAATAAGACTCTCAGCCGCCTTCCATACGTAGTTCATGTAGGGGTAATGTTGATGTTCCGCAGTTTGTTCCTGATTACATTTCCTTTGGCCCGAAGCCTTTTCTTTTGGATAAAAATAATAAATTGCCTTTTATTGCGGGTGTGGATTATTTTTTGCACCATCTGAAGTCAGAGGGCGCGGCCAAAGAATTTCTAAATGAGGTCAGTTCACTTTCACTTAAATGAGGTCATTTCACTTTCATAGGGAGATGAAGAAACGACGGCAAGACCCCACTCAGAACAGAGTCAAGAAATTTTAAGAAAAAAATCGGTGAAATCGTTCCTTTTGATAAAGCGCAGGGACTTTGTCTCATAAGTAATGATGACTTTGATTCTAGCTTGAAGTAAGTACTTTCTGGCAAACAGTTCAAGAAAATTACCTCTGGCCATCCAAGAACCTTGTACACGAAACAGACTCTGCTTTGAACGGCATTTCAAAAAAGTTGAAGCACGCTGGAGATTTGGCAGATCAGATAATTTGTGTCAGGGTTTCACAATTTACCCTAAGGTGCACAAAGAAGGTAATCCACTGCTCCCGGTCTTATGTCGGCCAGGAAGTTGTTACAATAACCTGAACAAATGGTTGGCAGGCCTGATCTATAACACTCCATCTGCAAATATCGAAACATCTTTTGCAAAGATGAACCTTTTACCTGAGGGAGGTTCACTTGAGAGAACGCGAAGAAATCTATTCAACTAACACGGTCTGATATACAGTCGCCAATTTCTCGTACAGCATGTCACAAGCTCACAGGTGGAAATAGCAGTTTGCACTGAGTAGCTTATGTTCTGAGAAGACTGGTTCATCCAGCACGAGCAAGCCGCAATGGGCGGTGTCACGGCCGTTTTTCTTGAAAACGTATAGTAGTAGTAGTAGTAGTAGTGTATGGATGAAGAAGTTCAAACTAGCTCTATCGTCGGATTCACCACAAAAATATGACACTTGTTGTGACAAGTGCGGCGTGAAACTTACTGCCTGCGGCTACTCGATCAGATGTCAGGTGCGCTCTAAGTGGTTTCAGTAGTAAACAAAATTCACCGTGGAAGAGATCAATGAGATCAAAGAGCTCATGACAATTTCCAGCTGATGTTGTGGTTGTAACCAAAACAAAATAAGAATAGCAAGAATTTTTAATTGTTATATGGATGACATTCTGAGAAGTGCAAAACCTGATTACAACATTAAAATCTAGGAGAGAGTAAAAAAACTCCATCAAAACCTGGAATTCACAATTGAACGTCAAAAAATATGATGTCTTCCATTTTTTGACATGCAGATGAAACAGACAGGAGCAGATAATGACACGTCCTGGTACAGAAAACCAACTGATACCGGGGTTGATTCTCTCTTTCAAATTCCTTACACCGATGAGATATATAAGAAAAAAAACATCATTCAAGGATATGTTCATCGTTATTTTAATGCCTCATCCAACAGGCTTTCTTTCATGGAAAGTAAGACGGAGGTTGTTTGTACGCTGGAGAAAAACCAGTTTCGATCTCAAATTTACGAAACTATAATCTGTGAAGCTCGTACCAAGATCTTTGAGAAGCCCATAGAAAAAGACACAAGTACCAGGATCACCTAAAAGGCGACCAAGAAAGGGATATTATTTTGTCATGCAAAAAAAGGCATTCAGAGTGACGTTTTCTCGATACGTCTCCGGCAAACGGCCCATGTTTCTGTATTCTTTACAAATATACAGATGAAGATCGCCTGACCATCGCTGAAATCAAAGGTACCGGAAATAGTTCGTAGCAACGTGGTATATGAATTCTTTGATCTAGATGTCAGTCTAGCTGTCGGACAGACAACCCGCCACCTTCCCACAACATTGCTCGAAATAACTAGCCCACTAGGTGAACATCTAAACGGGAGTGGTGTTAACATTGACAACTGCGAAGTGAAGATCATAGGTACTGCAAGAGACTCCGCTAAAATTTTAACCATGGTGGCATTTAAAAAAAACTAAAACAGCCTTCGGTCAACTAGAAGGAGGAGTACAAGGCGCGCGAATTGATCGTGTAGATGGATCCTTGTTACATCATCCCTTATTCCGATGGCGCATTCTGAATAAATTTGTTATTATGCATTTCTTAGTGTTTTCAAATTTGTTTCGTTTCAAAAATCTTACTGCGCTTTTGTAATTGTTTTCGTTAAGTTTTCAGCGTCGATGACAACATAATGTCAAAAACGTTCACAGACAATTAGTATTTTTATTGAGATCAAAATTTTATTTAAGATTTTATTCTAAATCATGTTTTTTTTTCAAAGAAATTATATTTCTGTTTCAAAAATGGCTCTCTGAAAGTCATCTTAATGAGCTGGAAGCAATAGTATACAATCTTTTGAATCTCCTTCATCCGTTTTATGCTTATCAGAAACTTGTTTAACGGAAAACGACTATTGTAAATTTTT